ATGGGACTGATTTTAAGTGGTGAGAAAAAAGTGCTGGGTCCATTCATTCCATAGCAGTGCAATTTCTGGATAATAAAAGAATGGAAAAAAAGTACCTACCAACCATTAGGTCTGGGGCCCTTTAGTAGAAGGCTTTTAAAATTCACTGGACTTTTCTAGGAAAGGATGCATCAGGGATGCTCAGAAACGAGCACTTCTTAGACCTGCAGCAGTCAGGGGGTTAAAGGATTCTTCCCGCCTAGGGGGTTCCAGAGATGGACAGAGAGAGACTTGACCATTTCCCTCCTTCCTCCTTCTCCCTTTCTTCTTTTAAACTTTGTCCTAAATGGTCACAGCAGTTGATACCTAATGTAGAACTTGGGAAATTCAGAAACATGTGAAGAAGGTGATGATAGGCTTCACCCATAATCCCACCCTGCAGAGGCTCGAGCTTTCTCTTTATCTGAATACACCAGGCAGGGTGTGGTCCAACCCCTTGTTCAGCAGTCTCCATTTACTTTGCAAAGTAACAGCCGCAAGCCCATGACTGTCTCCTCCCTCCCTTCTGGAAGTCTCAGGGATCGGTGAGCTTGGGTTCTGACTTCAAGTCTAAGGCTTGGAGCAGATGCTGTGCTGAGGGGCTGGGGGCCTGGGGCTTTCCAAAGCTGGCACTACCCCAGGGGGAGGCCATGCCCATGGTGGTGGTGGGGGTAGCCAGGAGCAACCATTTGCAACATCTTTCCATTTTGGGTGCTCAGGGTGCTTAGACTGTCTGTTCCTGTTTGGACACCTCCCACCGAAGGAGCAGGAGACAGGCACCTGTCTCTCTTAGGTGCACATGGAGCTTAAACAGCTTCTAACAAAAAGTCACACAACATGGGCATCTGTTAGTCTCCTTCTAGACCTTCTGTTCCTTTTATAGCTGCTAGGAATGACCCATAGAAATACGATTTTATGCTCCAGTGATTACATATACCTGGTCTTCAGTGGGACAGGGAGGAAAATGACTTGTGACCGAGTGCATCTTTTATGATTTGCAATCCCCAGCTGCTCTCCCAGGAGGGTGAATCCAGCTAGAGTATTTCCTGAGTAGGGGTCAAGGGTGTGAGGATGCCAAATGGAGCTACTGAGAGGGAGCCACAGGGCTCCCCTGAGCAAAGAGTCGAGGGTCTTGGGGCAGGGGCAGAGGAGGGGCTACTGGAGGGAAGAGGGAAGAGAGACAGATAAGGGGGCAGGGCTGAATTTTGGAGGGCCAAGGGGGCTGCAGTGGCATGTGCTATCTATTGTTTTCTCCTCTGTCTCCCCATAATTAGTGTTATATTGTGAAGTTGAATTTGTTAGTTTAAGAGTTGCAGTCAATTGCTGGAATTCTGCTTCCAAATAGGCAAGAAGAATGGCTGCCAGAGGGGGTCCAGCTATTTGGGGGTTGTACAACAAAAGAACAATTTGTTTTAAAGAAGGAGATTTGGGCACTAGGGAACCTGCCAATGCGCACCTCCATTAACACTCGGCACATTACCAGGAACTGTCTCCCCATGCTGTTCCATGGAGGCCTAGCTCCCCTAAGGCCTCTCTCCCGGCTCTGGGCCCCCAGGACCTGGACAATGCTGCTTTGTGAAACCAGCCCAACTTGCAATGCACTGTTAGTTGACTTTCAGTCCAACTACCATTCATTCAGCTTCTACCTGGCTCCAGGTCTTGTGGCAGAGCATAAGGAACAGAGGAGTGCCAAAGACACATGCCGCGCCTGCTAGGAGCTCATGGTAACAGTTTGTTGCTGTCAGATAGTAAGCGGAACAAAAGAGGTGAGTGAAGGTGGTGTGACAGCCAAAGGGACAGGGGTGTGGCTGGGAGGCTTCCAGGAGAGGACAACCTGAACGAAAGGGAGAAGGAAAAGAGGAAAGTTCTCCAGGCAGAGATCAGCATGGACAAAGGCACAGAGGTAGGAACCAGCCTGGTGCCTTCCAGGTCCTGGGAATAGCCCCGGAACACCCATGAGGGGGCGGGGAAGGTGGGGGCAGGCACTGAGATACTCTCAGGGCTTTGTGTTTTGCTTTTATTATCCAGCTCTTAGCCAGCTAAGAGCCTGGATCTCATTCACCTGGGTGGCAGTCCTCAAGGGGAAGGAGGTGGGTAAGGAGAAAAGCAAGGCACCGCCGGTTCTCTGACTGGGGATGGATGGGTTTGAATTTCCAGCATGGAGCATATGTTTGGTTTGAAAAAGCAAATTCAGAATTAAAACTTTATATTTGATAAATGTAAGAAGGATACCTGTCATAATCTAAGTTTGACTTGAATTTTGGCTAGAGGAGCAGGAATTAGGAAAAAAAGTGCAGGAATACTGCCCCAGGTGATGGGAGCCACAGGTGGGTTTTAGCAGGGAGGTGACAGCATGGGTCAGATTTGCACTTTTAGAAAGTGACTCTGGCCACTGATTGGGTGGTGGGTATGAGAGAGGAAAGACTGTGCATAGACTATGAAAGGGATGGAGAGATGGCGGCATGATTTGGGGCCTTGTGCCCTGGGTAGGGAGATATTTAGTGGACAGGAAACCGGAGAACTTGGTGACAGAGAAGGTGCACAGGGCAAGAAAAGAAGGAGTCGGGGCTATGTTCTGCAACCCTTGGTGGGGTGGCTGGCTAGGTTAAGGTCAGGGAGGAGGGGCTGGCTGGGGGAGGGAGGCTCTGGTGGTTGGTTCAGGGTTGCTTGGTTCTGACAAGTCAGTTTTAAAGCGACTGTGGGACATCTGAATGAACAAAGGCCCTTGAGCTTCTTGTGACTTGTTCACATTCACACTCTAGTGGGCGACTATCTAGGACTGGGATCCTGTGTCCTAACTCTTCCCACCTTGCAGCCCAGCTTGACTGGACATGGAGACAAGGAATAGGTGGCTCTGAGATGTCGTGCCTCCTAGGAGGTGTCAAGCACCCTGGGGGTGGGTGCTAGTGTTCTTATGATATGGAGTACCCCTTGCTTCTCAGCTTTGCCCCAGGGTGTGAATGGTTGAAAGGCAGGCTCTCGAAACACATGCTGGGGAAACCAAAGGCCGAATGAATGGTGATGCTGGCCTCAACACTGCATCAGGCACAGGCTCAGAGAGTTGTCACACCAGGGTCCCCTGAGGTCCATCCAGGGTGGCAACCCTGCCCCAGTTGCTAGATCCTCCTGAGCGCCCCTGGCATCATGCCTCATTCTCATTAAGACTTGCTCATCTGGTGCCTGTCCTGGCCCTGCTCTGCCTGACTGTGCAATCAGAGATCTGATAGTTTTGGTACCACAGGGGAATGTTTTACAACATTTGCCTATGGTACCTCTCAGACATATTTTCATTTTTAATCAGGGGATAATACTATAACCCAAGGAATGAGCCTCTAATAGTGGAATTTCAACACCAACAGAGATTGGGATAGGAATTATTGTGTTCAGTGTATACTTATCTGGGGGACAGATGCCTATCATCTTATGTGAATGGCACAGGTCACTTCGGGAGGCAAAAAATTAGTTCTTTTGGTGGAAACAAGAAATAGCTCAGACTCTGAAAATCCAAACCTTAGCAGGTTATGACCACAAGACAACCTCATACCTCTGTGGCACGGGCTGCTGGGGAAGGGGAAGAAGCTTATGCTTCAGGTAAGACAACTTACGAGGCTGCGGATTAGTCCTTAGGGGACATCAGTGGCCACCCCTCAGAAGAACAGCATCCAGAGATATGTCAGTAAACCCTGCACTAGAGCTAGCCAGCTCTGGAAGGTGGGGCTCCCTTTCATCTTGGTGGGCATTGGACAGAAGCAGCATAAGGTGGTGCCTGTGACCCTGTTCTAGCTAAAAATAAGACTAATGGGAGGAGGACCCCAGCTGGCAGCTGGACGTGCAGAGCATCAAGACTAGGTTATGAAAGCAACTGCCGGGTCCCTAACTAGAGCCATGAGCATCAGGATTAGGCTCAGGGGCCATCACAGCACTGCAGTGCTGAGCCCAGAGTACCCTGGCTGGGCTGAGAAGGAAGCTGTGCTTTAGTGGGCATGCAGTGTCCTGGCCTCCCTCAGCCACACCATACCTACCAAGATGGATTCTCTCTGCTCCTCAATGGTAAGTTAAGTCTTTCCAGACGCCCCGCTGTGGCCAGCACCGGGTCAGGGATGGAGCTGAACTATCCAGTGAGGAAGGACAGACAGGGACTGGCCCCAGAGCCATGTGGGAATAGGAGTTGGTGTTGGGGATGCTGCCAGCCCTGGGCAAGACAAGCATCCTTACTCTGAGCAACAGAGTGCCCAAGTGAAAATGGGAAACCATCACTTGTGGGTTTTGTTTGTTTGTTTAAACATTTTGATGATTAACCCTTTGAAGACCTTGATCCCCAGGATTTTTAGAGCAGTAACTCATCTTTGTTTGTAAGATACTAATGCTTGGTGAAATTGTCTTGAATCCAATTCATGGCCTGTGCACCTCCCAAACCCTTCCACTGTCCTGGGGCATGATATTCTCAGGCTTCTTCTGCTTCTTTGACCGCATCCAAAATTCTCTCATACCAGTGTCTGTGAGTTGAGTAGCTATTAGTGAAGTATTGGGGGGTGGTATCAGGAAGGGGTCACAATGCCTTCCAGCCTGGCAGCCAGGACCCCTCCAGGCTCACGCAGGAGTTCCACATCCTGCTCCCTCCACTGTGCAGAACAGCTTCTCTCCTCTGGTCCTCAAAGCCAACACTCAGTGAAGAGATTTTCCAATTCCTCTCTTTGAAAAAAATTTTGGTCCCACTCATAAAGATAATGAAGCTTTCTTTACCTTTTCATAGACATAATTTGCTTTTAAAATAAAATTTCATTTCTAGTTCATTTTTAAGAATTTCCCCGCAGTCCTTACAATAAATCAGCGCCTAATGGTGCTGCAAAAACAGGGTAAGGAGTCCTGGTGGTGCAGACAAGACCCTGATGTTTGTTGCTTGTGTTTTTCAGCTTTCATCCAGATGTTTGAAATCCTGTAGATGAGGTCGGCGTCCCTGAGAGCAAAGCAGGGTGCACAGGCCGAGCACTGAGAAGCAGCAGCCTGGGACAAGGCTGGTCCAGCCTCCTGGTAATTTGTTGGCAGTTTTTGGGTGGTGATGGGGGGTGAGGCACACTTTTTGGTTGGGTCCGTCTCACCAGGATGAGCTTCCAGTCACCAGCAGGATTGTGGGAGTGGAGTGGAGTGGGGTGGAGTGGAGGAGTGCAGATCTGGAGCCAGAGATAGCCCTGGTTGAGATCCTGACTCCACTGTTATCTGTGTGATCATGGGCAAGTTAGCTAACCTCTCTGCGATTCAGTTTATCTGTAAAATAGTGACATTAACATCTGCCCTATGGAGTGGTCTGGGGAATGAAAATAAATCATGAACAGAAGTTGCCCAGTACTGTTCTGTCACCAGTTCTCTGATGCAAACTGGCAAACTGGGTGTCCTACAGTTCAGCTCAGTTCTGACACTATGCCGTGTTAAAGGACACACAGGTTAACTACCACAAGTTGAAGGGCAAGGTCACCAATAAACTGCCCCCAGTTCAGAAGCCACAAGCCACCCCCAGGCACTTCTGACTCACTTAGCTATAAATTTGAGGGTTCCCATGCTGCCCTTTAATCCCTAATTCACTATAACAACTCACAGAACTCAGTGAAGGCACTGTAACTGTGACTACAGTTTTATTACAAAGGATTTAACTCAGAAACAGCCAAATGGAAGCAATGCATAGGGCAGGGTGTGGGGAGGGTGGGGGATTGGTGCAGAGCTTCTGTGCCCCTCCTTATAGAATCTGGGTGCATCACCATCCCAGCATACCAATCAGGAAGCTCCTCCAAGCCTTGATGTTCAGAGATTTTTAATGGGGGGCTTTATTACTATTAGGCATGATGGTTTAAATCATCTGACACTTGACTGAACTCAGTCTCCAGCCCTTCTCCCTCCTGTCCTCTGTGGTTGGGGGTGGGGCTGAAGTTCCAACCCTCTAATCATGTGCTTGGTCTTTCTTGGTGGCCAGTCCCTCCCTTGAAACATCTAAGGGCCCACCATAAATCACCTCATTAGCATAAATTCAGGTTTGATGAAATGAGCTCATCATGAATTACAAAAGACCCTCCTAATGTTTTTTGGATATTTTAGAAATCCCAAAACTTTTTGAAGTTCTGTGCCAGGAATGGGGGGAAAAGGCCAGATATATTCTTTATGATGTCACACTGGCCCATCAAGCAGTGGCCTCTGATGGTCACCACCCTGCTTATCCTCTTTGTTGTTATCTCCAAGTTGACATGTTCCCAGTATTGGTCAGAGAACTAGTCATTCTTGTCAGTCTTTTTCTGGATGTTCTTTTTGTTAATATAGCTCAAGATTGAATTAGTTCTTTGGACTACAACATATAATTACAGCTATTGAGTATGCACCTGTTTACAGTTGAATCATGAGCCTCTCATTACTCAAGTTCCTAATGCTATAATGATTCTAGCCCCTAAATGACACATAATAAGAGCAAATGCTTAATAGCACTTGATATACGCCAGGCACTGTTTTAAATGCTTCACATACATTAACTCATCTAAATCCTCACAACAGCCTAAAGAGGTAAATAGTTCGACCCCTATTTTATACATGGGGAAACTGAGGCACAGAGCGGTTAAGTAACTTGCCCTACCAGATCACACAGCTAATAAGTGGCATAGTTAAGACTGGAACTCATCATCTGCTTGTTCCAGAGTCCATGCTTTTAACCAGTAAGCCACACTGCACATAACTTTGATCACCTGTGCAACATTTTGGAAGGAAAAAAAGGAGCACAAAAGGATGCCTCTTGTTCACAAAGTCAAAGGGTGGTTTTCTCTGGCCCCCATTGTCACAATGAGGGAGTCAGGGCTTCCATTTTCGACTCCATTCCCAGCGGAGCTTCTCTGGAGTAACCTTCTGGGGATGGGCTCTGAGAAGTGAAGGCGGGCCTGGGGGGCATGGTAGTTGGGCTCCTGTCCAGCAGGACCTGAGCTTCTTTGTTCCTCGTGCTTCAGGGAGGGAAATGCTACTTCAAGCCTTCACAGACCCATTCCCGGGAGTGCAGCCATTCCAAGAGGAAGGAAAGAGGGTCAGCCTTTTCCACCTAAATAGAAAGGATTTAGGCTAGGAAGGTTCACTACTGGGCTGTGCTGACCAAAGTGATCCTAATCCCAGAGGAGCTGAGGGTTCAGGTGGCTCTGCAGCTGGTGGGACCTGGAGTCATAAGGAACACAGGGAGCTCATCTCCATGTGCATATCCATGGTACCCATTGGAATGTTGCTTGTTTTGTTTTTAAAATAACATCAAAGATTGGGGCTTCCAAAGTTCTAAAGAGAATTAAAACAGGAGGGGCAGTGCCTCTGGAAAAATGTCTGCAGTGCTGTCTGCCCAGGAGAGTCTGGGTGGTGACTTCATATCTGCATAGCTCTGATGCACTCCCATTGTCTTTGTCCTTGCAATACCTTCTTACTGCTTATTATTGCAGGGGTGAGGCTGTCTGAGAGCATGGTGGAGGTGAGGTATTTTTAACTCGCTCCACACACGTGGGATTGACTTGAACCTATAAGGCAAATGTCAGTAGGTCATGTGTGTTCTTTGCAGTTGCCCATTTGGTAATTGGCTTGAGGGAGAGGCCCCAGGGGTGGAGAGACAAGGATGCAGGAAGAAGGTCTCTTGCTCCAGGAAACTCAGATCCTCCATCCTTCATTTTCTACATGAATCTGTCTCACTCCATATAGTGTAGAGCTGGAAGGGGCCCCAGAGTTTATTCTGTTCTCTCCCTCATTTAGAGATGGACAAAATGAGACCCAAAGAGGGAAATTACTACTTGGCCAAGCCCATGAAGCTAAAGAATGACAGAGTGAGGGTGATACTGTAGACTCTGACTCCAGTCCAGAGCTAATTCCACTGGAAACATCCCTGATGGACTCAATAACTCTTTCTCCACTTAGATGAAGAATCTGGCTTGAATGCTACTGAGTACAATTTCAACCATTCTAGCAACCTGCCAAATCTGTTTCAGATCTTTCTTTAGAGTTTTTTTTTTTTTTTTTTTTTTGCTTTTGCGGTTTTTTTTGGCTGCCACTTCCAGAAGATGCCTCCTCCATACTCTGTCACTCACAGGCAAATATTTCATCTATAGGCCCAGCAGGCATGGTGCTGGTTGGGGGAGATCTGGTGAGGGCACTCATAAGGAAATGATTAATTAGTGAAAGAATTAAGATGAGATGTCGTGGTTTGGCAAACTCGCAAAAGCAGAAATGGTGGCATTTGGAGCCTCCTGCTGTCCCAGGTCAGGTGTATGGTGGCAGTTGGTGACTGGAGTTGGAGGATGGGGCTTGGACAGCCATGGGAAATGACACCTGGCAATGGTGTTAGAAGATGAGGTTTGTGCCATTTTGGCTGGCTTGCTAAATGGCCAACATCTGGAATGCATGCCATCTATTACATGGTACAACTATTAAGATCTAGCCAGTGGTATTTCAACTCTGGCTGCCTATTGGAATCACCCAGGGAGCATTTAAAAATCCTGATGTCCATAGCTGATTTCCAAGATCTATAAAGAACTTCTCAAACTCAACACCCAACAAACAAATAATCAAGTCAAAAAATGGGCAGAAGACATGAACAGACACTTCTCAAAAGAAGACATACAAATGGCTAACAGACACATGAAAAAATGTTCATCATCATTAGCCATCAGGGAAATTCAAATCAAAACCACACTGAGATACCACCTTACACCAGTTAGAATGGCAAAAATTGACAAGGTAAGAAACAACAAGAGTTGGAGAGGTTGTGGAGAAAGGGGAACCTTCTTACACTGTTGGTGGTAATGCAAGTTGGTACAGCCACTTTGGAAAACAGTGTGGAGGTTCCTCAAAAAGTTAAAAATAGAGCTACCCTATGACCCAGGAATTACACTACTGGGTATTTACCACAAAGATACAGATGTAGTGAAAAGAAGGGCCATCTGCACCCCAATGTTCACAGCAGCAATGTCCACAATAGCCAAACCGTGGAAAGAGCCGAGATGCCCTTCAACAGACGAATGGATAAAGAAGATGTGGTCCATATATACAATGGAATATTACTCAGCTATCAGAAAGGATGAATACCCACCTTTTACATCAACATGGATAGGACTGGAAGAGATTATGCTAAGTGAAATAAGTCAAGCAGAAAAGTCAATTATCATATGGTTTCACTTATTTGTGGAACATAAGGAATAGCATGGAGGACATTAGGAGAAGGAAGGGAAAAATGAAGGGGTGGGGATCGGAGGGGGAGACCAAGAAACAAACTGAGGATTTTAGAGGGCAGGGGGGTGGGGGGATGGGTTAGCCCAGTGATGGGTATTAAAGAGGGCATATATTGCATGGAGCACAGGGTGTTATACACAAATAATGAATCATTGGAACACTACATCAAAAACTAATGATGTACTGTATGGTGACTAACATAACATAATAAAAGAAAAAAAAAAACACATAAAAATCCTGATGTTCAGATCACACCCCAGACTAATAACATTAAAATCCCTGATAGCAGTATTTTTTAAAGTTCCCCAGTGGATTCCAATATGCACCCAAGTTTAAGAACCACTACTCTAGGCCAAGGGTTCAGCCTGTCAGCTGAGGGAAGTAGTACATGTGCCCTCCCTTGAATTTGCTAATTCCCAAAAAGGGAAAAAGAAGGAAGGAAGGGAGGGAGGAAGGAAGGAAAGGGAGGGTGGGAGGAGGGAGGAAGGGAAGAAGGGAAGGGAAGGACAGGGAAGGGAAGGGAGGGGCAGGGAAGGGAGGAAGGAAGGAAAGAAGGTAGGTAGGTAGGAAGGAAAAATGAAAGAAGAGGGAAAGGAAGAAAGATCACCTGAGTGTTCTGGCCTGATGGGGTAGATTCCCACTTTTCCCATTACCTAGTGCTTCACCCACCTGCCCCACTCAGAGGAACTATAAGGTGGAGGGTAGAATCTCGAGAGAAGATGGAAGAAGATGTTGCAGACAGCTCACCAACAACAAGACTATGCTTTACTGGCTGTCAGCAAGGCCTCTTGCATAATGAACTGCTGGCTGTAAGGAAAGTCAAGGTTTGGGCTAACAGAATGGGCCAAGGGGGAAGAACAGATGAGGACAAGGAGGCAGGAGTGCTGTAAGAGAACTTCAAGAGAGCATTCCACCTCCTTGTGGAATGCAAATGTGAGCTCATGGAGGTAAAGTGAGGGAGGGCAGGTTAAAGATGAAAGCCAGGTGTCCCGATCCCCTGTAATGCTCTTTTGTTGGCATCTCTCTACTGGTGTTCAAAAGCTAATTCTTGTTCAGTCAAGGCACTTGCCTTCCTTTGCTAAGAAAGGGATCACACAGTCGGGAGAAGGCTAGGGGGCTCTGTAAGGCTGCCCTGGGTGTTGAAGGGGCATAACTCAGATTTGAAGGCCTAGTGATGCTGACACACAAAGGGAGACTGGTGTGGTCAAAGCCCCATAGCTGGGAGGTGGAGGCTGGAGCTGCAGCTTGCTTCTTCAGGAAGGTTCCAGTATAGTAAGAGAAGACATTCCTTCTTACCATCAGGCCGTGGGCAAAAAAAAAAAAAAAAAAAAAAAAAAAAGCATGCTTGAGTAGAAAAAATAGGATTCCCAGCCCAGCTCTCCAAAGGCTGCCCTAGTCCTCATTCCAGGGATCAGGTCTAGATATAGTACATTAGTAAGTACTAATTCCCAATATGTGGCTTTACACTACGTAGGTATGCATCACAAAAATGCTCCAAAAGTTGTGCAGATCATGCTTGCACCGGAGAAACTGTCCACTTCCACCCTGGTGTGGCAGTTTAAGTGTAGCTGGTTAGTCAGGGAAGGGTGGTGGACCCCTGGGGCGTGTGCCAGATTTTCGAAAGGTCCGATGATGTATTAGCGCCCCCTATCGATGGGCAGCTGACGGCGCCCTGCCCTCCAAACCGCGGCTCGGCTTACACCCTCCGGGGAATAGCCGCCTCCCTCGTGAATCCAACGAATCCAGCTCCTCTGCCGTATGAAACTGTACTCGGACTGGGAGCTCCCTCTTCCCTTCTCTGCAGGCTTCCAGAAACGAATTATAAGCCCACCAGGACAATGAGTGAAGAGACTGTCCCCGAGGCTGCGTCGCCGCCGCCCCCGCAGGGGCAGCAGTATTTGGACCGCTTTTCTGAGGACGACCCTGAGTACCTGCGCCTCCGCAGCCGCGCGGCGGACCTGCGGCAGGACTTCAACCTGATGGAGCAGAAGAAGCGCGTCACCATGATCCTGGAGAGCCCCGTGAGTGGGGTCCGCCCCAGGCGGGCGGGAGAGGAGGAGGAGGAGGGGAAGGGAGCGGAGCAGGCGGCGCCGCCCATTCATCTGGCTGAACCTGAAAGATAAATAACTCCTCTTTCATTTGCTCAGTGTTGTAGCAATTTTAAGCCCCCTGAGCAAGACGGGCCTGGCCCTGTGGGTATTTCATTTTCTCCCTGGTCACTGGTAGAGGGCAAAAACCTGGTTTATGTGCAGGCGGTTTGGCTTGGTACTGGGGAGGGGGTGGGTCTGGGAGACAGGAACCCTGCCTCAGTTTCCAGGCTTCCCCAAAAGTTGTAACAATGAACTAACAGGGATAGTCCTGTAAACCGGAGGCCAGCAGGGAGCGCCACGTGGAAGGCTTGGGGCCCCCATTTTTGAGCACCACAAAGAACTCACTGTCGGGGCAATAAGGTTGACAGGCATGGGGTAGAGGTGAAGAGGGTCTGGAAGCCTCAGGAGGTGGCCAGAGTGAAGGATACAGAGGACTATGGGCCAGGGCAGGGAGGGCAAGTCATGATCACCCTACCATGGCCCCAGACTTGAGGTCAGTTGGTACCTGTGTGGCATGGACACAGAGCTCATCCTTGCAGCAAGTGGTGCATTGAGAAGAACAAAGCACGGGCCTAATGGACCACGGAAGTAGGAGGGTGATGGAGGCCCTGGGTGAGGAGAGGAAGAGCGGTGTGGAAGGAGTGTGAGGGCGGTAGAGCTGGGGGTCCTCAGGAAACAGTGCGTGATCCCAGGGGCTGGGAAGCTCAGGCTGGAGCTGGCATCTCCAGGTGCCTGCCAGGAGGGGCTCTGCCTCAGTCCCCACTGGGCTTTGGAGAGACAGGACACGTAGGTGGGCTGTGTGTGACCCTGGCTGAGAGCATACGGTGAATGCTCAGGCTTCACAGAGGAGCACTGAGGTAATGGGCCTGAGGTCTTGGTGACAGGTGATGCTGTGGAGGAAGCCTGGAGGAATATGGCAGGTACTAAAAGCTTTGGGATGATGGGAAAACTCCAGTGTGGGACTAGGAGAGATGACAGGTGTGATAGGAGAAGTGGCAGAGTTAGTACCAACCCAAGTTTCGGGGCCTGAATGGATAGAACTCTATTCGCAGGCAAGAAATGGGACAAAAGGAGTTCACGTTTCTTCTGTCCTTTTATAGATTGACCAACACCTGAGGGGCTCCGTTTCCTCCTGAGTGTTCCCTGCTGCCACCTGGTGGACAGTCCTGCCTTATTTATGGTCTGAAAAACCAGGCTTAGAGTAGCAGGACATTAGAAGTGGAAGTGACAGGGAGGACAGCAAATCCTTCAGTACCTGAGGAAACTGAGGTCCAGAAGGGCCATAGGCATGGCTGACAGACAGGGAGGATGGCACACATTTTCGTCCAGTTCTGCTTTTTAAAATGTCTCTTAATTACTAAAGTGAAGCCCTGCCCTGTCTGATGGCCCGGGGCCGGGGTGGGGGGCAGTGAGGTGGGGTTGGAAGTGGGAGGGACGTCTTGAATATCACTTAGACCCAGGAAGGACCTGGACAAAGGGGACACAACAGGGGACATCTTTTTGCTTCCCAAACAGTAGTTTGGGGAGGCTCCTGAGGTCCCACTAGAATTCCCAATGTCCCCTGAGGCCCAGGGATCCCATGTGTGGCCCTGGCCTAGCTGACCCAGGGGATTGGGGTGGGCTCTTGGAAGAGGGGTCCTCAGTCCCCCCCATGAGATCCACTGGGGGGACCAGCACCTTGGGGCCTGCTTCAGTCTTTCAGGGAAGAACTGGAAGGCCTCATCCAGGAGCAGATGAAGAAGGGGAACAACTCCTCCAACATCTGGGCCCTGCGGCAGATCGCGGACTTCATGGCCAGCACCTCCCACGCAGTCTTCCCAGCATCTTCCATGAGTACGTGCGGAGCTGGGGAGCTGCCAGGAGCAGAGGTGGAGGAAGTGAGGTGGGGAAGAGAGGGTGGGTTGCCAGGCTACAGAGTGAGCAGTGCAGCTGAGTTAGCCGACCCGGGGGCAGGGGCAGGGGGGCAGCCAAAGAGGTACCTGGCTCTGCTTCTGAGGCTGCTGGATTTAAAGACCCACAGGAGAATTACTCCTGGTGCCCAGAAATAGAAGGGGGATGGTGACCTACCGGAAAACCTCTTTCTGGTTCTGTTGGGGGAAGGGACAGGATGACAGGGTGTCATTGTTCTGAGAGGCAGGGAAACCTCTATATGACTCCTCCATCCCCCTTCATAAGTGGGTTAGCATGAAGGGAGGAGCTTTGCAACTCCAAGTCTTTTACGTGGCCTCTGCTTGAGGACCCAGGAGTGGAGAGTGCAGATTCCGCTCCCTGTTACCCTAGCTGTGGATACAGAACTGAAGGAAAATCCTCGTGGGCTAGCAGCAGCCCCTGACTTGGGCTGCTCTTTGCTCAACCCTGTGGAGCCTCTCCCTTGCAGCTGGAGTGGTAGGGAGGGGAGGAGGGCGTTGAAGCCAGTATCTTGGTACCCCACTGGATAGGCCAACCTGACTCCATAGACAAGGACCACAAGCAGCCAGGCCTGGGCATGAAACCCTCTTCCTGGGTTCTGAAGTTCTGCCCAGAACCTTGAAGAAATAAACATCAAAAAATACTTTCCCTCAACAACATAAATACAGGATTATGATGAAAAATTAGGGAAATAATCAAGAAAGGGAAATTAAAATTAATGTACTGTGTTCTTACAACTAAGAAATGACTATTTTCAATATTTTGGTGTATATCCTTCCGGCCTTTTTCTCTTACCATATATAAATTAGGAAAACAAAAATGGAATCATATTATACATGCAAGTTTGATAGCTTTAACATATCTTGACTAATTTTTCACATAATAAAATAGGATTCTGTAATATAATATTTGGTGAAAGTATGCTATTCTATGGCATGACTGAATATGCCATAATTTATTTTTAGACTGTTTCCCATTTTTAGACTTTTAATTTGTTTACAGCTTTTTGCTCTTATGAACAACAGTGCCATAAATCTTTTCATGTAGTCTATGACTATTTTCTAAAGACAAATTACTGGAAATAGAATTGCTACATTAAAGTATTTGCATGTTTTAAAGACATTAATGCATAATGCCAAATTACCGTGGAGAAAGATGGAACCAATTTACATTCCCACCAGCAATGCAATAGAGTGCCCTTTTCCTCCACCTTGATCTGTAGTATGTATTATATCATTCATTTCATCCTCCTGATTTGATAGGTGATAAATAGTACTTTATTTGTGTTTTAATGTGCATTTGCTTGATCACTAACGACTTTGGGTGTATTTTCATATACACGTTGGGATGATTTTTTTTTTTTGTAGTAAATTGCCTATCACATTCCTTGCCAATTTTCCTACTCACATATCCTTTTCTTAAAAATTTTCAAATCTTGGGGCGCCTGGGTGGCTCAGTTGGTTAGGCGACTGCCTTC